GACAAATTATGAGTGACTAGCAAAGTGGCCAGTTGCTTCCCCCTCCTCCCTAGGCAAAAAATCTATTCGAATCTGTACAAAAAACGTACCTGTACTGATAGGTATTACGATCGACGTTGAAGGTCTGCGCTCGAGATGATCCGTCCACGGGTTCGATATGAAGACGGAATGACGTCACCCGATTGCGATCACCAGGACGAACTGTCCACGAAACCGTCAATGAGCTTTCAGTACCTCCAATCTGAACAAGTGGTACAGTTATTGTCAAACATTCTATGAAAATGACCTTTTGAGGAAAGAATGGCATTGATCCACAACTCAGCTTATCCCTACTCCTCTAGGATCAGGGGAAGCCACTGCGTTGGGCAAATTTCAGAAGGGCTACCCGTTCCGAGGGGGTTCTCATGCAACCTCATCCATCCTTAAGCACTTCCTGAAGTCTTTAGCCTTAGTAATTTCAACTTAAACTCACCGCCAACGCCCAAAGTCCCGACAACACTGGGAGATGCGGGGGGGGGGTAACCTGATACATGCAGCCTTTGGTGCTTCTTTAGATTTCGCGAATAACCCAGTTTCTCGAAAAATCCTCCCCAAAAATGTGCAAGGCTCCTTTTACTAGAGATAAACCCCGTTCAGAAATCACAAATTCGATCATAAAACCCCCTTTCGTTCAAATACTTCACCCTGTTCAAGACTTACCTTGTCGATGGTGAGAATCTGCACAGCCTCGTCGGTGACTTTGGTTCGTTCGGGTTGCGACCATGGTGACCATCCGCGATCAGTTGACGTGGGCAGCCACCTGAACAGTTACAGTTCATCTGCTTACTCTTTCCCTTTCTCTCTGTTGAATGATGACCCATTCGGGATCACTTTCCTACCTGAAATTCGTAGGTCTGTTCGGGTTGCAAATTGTCGATTCGTCCGCAGTGCATTTTGGTTCCTGGCGGAGGCGTTGGCAACTGCTGACTCTCCAGAATCCTCGCTTGGCATGGACTGACAGCTGGGAATTGGCGTTCCTGAAGGTCGTAATGAGGGGGTTAGGTCAGTGCCAAGAAGATCGTTTCTCTTACCTGGTATTTTTGCGTACCGGCCGGCGAATACCTGCACTTGTACTTGTCAACGTAAGCCGCTCTGTGGGTGTGGCGATTGCCAGACCACATGGGCGTTGTCCGCTCCCGTGTTGATGACTTTCACAAACGGTGGGGCCTTAAATGGGTAAATTAGAGAGCTGATAGAGCATTTCGAAAAATCCCTTACAGTAACAGTCTGAGTAGCAGCAGTCTGGAAAGCAACATCTGTGGACCA